AACTACACACTGACTTACACATGCCTTAACCTGCTGCTGTTTGTACTCACAACTTCTTCCAGACGTCCAAACTGCCATAAGGAGCCTCACACCTATTCCCAAGAAGTCTGCAGAAGGTTCAAGATGGAAACTCATGATTCAATCCTGTTTAAGACTCACTGCATGGGCATTAACGTCTTACAATGTAGAGCTTAACTTTTAAGGATCAGCTTATTTTTGTTTATTTTCTTTTTACTGACCCTTAGTACTGATTTTTATCGCTTTTCTAATGCTACTACTGCATGCAGTTACAATAGATAGCATCATTGTCATCGCTTTACAACTTTTCTTTAACAATGCCAAGCCAAAAGTTTAAGGTATGAGTTTCTTTGCTTTTCTTCTTCCCATTTCATTGTCTCCCTCTGGTCTGTGATTTCTGATGGTTTCCTCCACGCTCCACAGTTCGCCCCATTTCCCCCCACCGGTTTGAACTGCCTGAGCTGAAGTCCATCTCTCTGTCGCGAACTCCGAGCCCTGAGCCGCAGGAGAAGCCCCCGACCCCAGGTAGAACTCAGGTGTACCGTGATGTCGGGTCCCTGTGTGACGTCAGATTACGTCTTGTCCTTGTTGGAGCGTCAGGTCCTTTTTGTGTCCCTGCAAAGTGTCAGATGACGTCAATTCCTTGTCATGTTCCTGCGTGACGTCAGAATACGTCGGGCCTTCTTGTGACGTCAGGTTCTTTTCGTGTCCCTGTGTGACGTCAGATTACGTCATGTCCTTGCTGGAACGTCCGGTCCTTGTCGTGCGGTCGTGCCCTTGTGTCCCTGCTGAAGTCGAATGACGTATTTTCGTGTCATATCCCTGCCTGATGTCAGGTTACGTCAGGCCATCGTCATGACATCAGGTCCTTTTTGTGCCCCTGCGTGACACCAGATGATGTCATGTTCTTGTCACGTCCCAGCATGACGTCAGGTGTTGTCCGCTCCCCCCAATCTTACCCCTTCCTCGTGCGGTGCTGTCTTCTTGCGAATCTAGTTTTAACAGTCCTGAACCAAATGTGTTTACAGATGAACCACATGGCGAACATGAAGAAACAAACACTCAGAAATCTACACCACTAAACAAATGACAGTATATGGGGTCTTGCTCATGTAGAAGAAAGAAGGATGTTTTATCAATATGGTGCTGTGTTGTGTATTATGTCTGTTCCTTGTTGTTGAAAACGTTGGTATCAGAATTCACATTCACGTACATCTGTCTATCATACCTACATGTGCAACACTACATGTTTATACTTAATGGAAGTGTGAGACTTTGTAGATACTCTTTCTTGAGTAACCATTACAATAATTAATATATTTGTATGAAAGTGACCGATGATAGAGAAAAAGGTACTAACTGTAACCACTCATAGTGCCTTATAGTACTAGTCTAAGAGCTATACATTGTTAATGTGTGTGTTACTCTGTGATTGTCTTGCACCCCAAAAGAGGCTGACGGTAAGTTGTTATAATGTGTGCTAATACGTAACTGTT